GTGAAGGGTGATAAGATAATGTGAGGTAATACAGATAGCTTGAACATGGTAAAGGCTTAGCTAGGCCTTAGTATGTAGAAAAAGGTGGAGAAATACCAATAGGTGACAAAACAAGGAAAACTTAATTAAGGGGTTGCCTTTGTAGGAATTGAAGAAGAGTGAAAAAATAAATAGACAATTTTGTTGAGGAATGGTGATGTTGAGATCAAAAGTTGGTAGTTATTTGTAGAACAGAGAAAAGTAAACTAAAGTTCAAACTTGAAAGTGGTAAGGTACAGGTAGAGGAGGTGGGTTCAGATTTTTAGTTTATATAAGTTGCGGTGACAATAATAAATTAGTTTTCTTATTTGTTTCAAAAATTTGTTGAGGAGGAAGGTGCTTTTGGTAATCGTTCATTAGTGCTGGTTTAAAGGTTCTCTTTATTGTGTAACCCAAAAAAAATTATCTTTTTTTCGCAGTGAGAGATGATGTAACTCTTACTTAGTATGCATTCCATGTTTTTCTTATGTAGAGATACTTGGAGATGCCTGTGAAGCAGTTGCTGATCTGAAACAGCTATTCTCTCTTGCTGAGAAATTTGGTTATTCTGAATGGATTCAGTTTGATGCTTCTATTGTTCGTGGCCTTGCCTACTATACTGGTATTGTCTTCGAGGTTAGATTTTCCATGTTGCTTTCCCCCCAATACTTTTTAATCGCGGATATCAGTCATACTAATAGAATCAAGTTAAAACATTGTTTTCCATTTTCTTTAGTTGTTCTGTTGCTCTTGGGGACCGATGACTTTCCTGTATAGTCTGGTACATACCTTTATGAGTGTAAATAATGTCCTGGGGCTGGGGATCATATTTGTTACCACACTTCTATTTCAGGCATCACTCTAGCCATGGGGATGTAATTTATAGATATTATCTTCCTGTAAGTCTATACAATTATAGATTTTGGAAGTACTGAGCTGAGGCATGGCCTGTGAGCAAAACGTTAGTAGCATTGTTATTAGATATTGCAGTAGAGTATTTTAGGTGTTCTGTAAGTTGGTTATGATGTTTTCATCCCTTATGCATGAAACAACTGGCATGTGACATGCCGTGTCGTGTGAAAACTTGTGCCACTAAAATTTCTGACATAGAAAATGCTTTCAATTCTGCACTAATGTGCCTACATGTAAGAACAAACTTTGCGCTGTAGATAGAAAAAAAGGGCAACAGCTTTTGGCTGTGCATGATTACTTAATCTGTTCATGAATATTAAATCTCCCTTGCGTGTAAAGAAAATTGCTGCGGGTTTCTTCACTGTTGAACACAGTCCCTAAATGATTAATTTTATTTTCAGGGTTTTGATAGAGGAGGAAAGTTGCGAGCCATTTGTGGTGGTGGGCGATATGATCGCTTGCTTTCTACTTTTGGTGGTGATGACATTCCTGCTAGTGGCTTTGGATTTGGTGATGCTGTCATAGTGGAAGTGAGTTTCAACTTATTTATTTCCTATTCCTTGCTTTATGAAGCCACTTTCTATTACATTTAAGTTTTCTTGTTGAAGCACAATATGTGCTTATGATTGGGATAAATACTTCTAGTACTTAAATATACTTCATTCTTGGCTCCTAGAATTTTCGTTTGGTTTATCGTTTCTTTGACATTTTAGTGTTGGGATTACAGTTGCTAAAGGAGAAGGGTCTTCTGCCAGAACTCAGCCTGCAAGTAGAAAACATTGTGTGTGCTCTGGATCCTGGACTTCAAGGAGCCGCTGCCACAGTTGCCACCATACTCAGGGGAAAAGGTCAAAGTGTTGATTTAGTCTTGGAGAACAAACCGCTCAAATGGTATTTGCCACCATCTTATTAGGTGCTTGCAAATTTCTATTTCAATCACTCTGTTTCTAATATGTTATATTTCCATGGGTTGAATTTGATCTATGTCAGGGTATTCAAGCGTGCAGCAAGAATAAATGCTAATAGGTTGATATTGGTGGGAGATTCAGAGTGGCAAAGGGGTATGGTGGGTGTGAAAATCCTTTCTTCCGGTGAACAACATGAGATCAAACTTGATGAACTCGAGTGATAAGAATTGATTATTTAGAGGTTGTACTCAATTTGTTTTATTTTTATAGGTAGGTTCACCTCATTATTGTCCCCCATTTATGTGCTTACACAATTTTTTTTTGTCAAAATAGTAATGAAATTACAAATTTTTGTCTTATTGATCTCAGTAAAGCTTGTGCAACCATTTGTCTACTGTTCTATTTATTAATTTGCTTGTTCTGTAGCCTTTTCATGTTCATTTGAAACCATACTAAGACGTTATGAAAATTAGCCCAATGTTATGCGAAGTACAAACAAATGATCTTTCCAAAATAGCAAGTTGTAGATAGCTCAATACGGCATAACCATTCCTATTATCAGCTCCAATACATGGATCCTGTTTCAAGATGACCTTAGACAAGACTAATAGTGGTAGTTAACCTTTTAGCAATGCTGTCCAAGATCTTACCTGACTGTTGTGTGCTGCTGATCGAAACCTTCTTTGATAGTTAATGAGAACATGTGATATTTTGACAACTGATATTGTGCCTGAACTATTTTGTAATGGACATGAAAGATAAATTTGTCTTGTTTGTATTTATGTAAGGTTTTCTTAGCCCTTTCATTTCCGGTAAATTTTTGGTTTGAGTGCTGTCCCTGGTTGAAAAGAGTGCACATTCGCTGCTTTTTGTTTGCTTTATAGGCGATCACATTTTATTTTTCACCTAAAAGAAAAATTGGATAGTTAGCTATGTGAAAAATTAAGATGTGTTTCACCAATTTGAAGCTGGTTTCTTTAATGCATTGACATTACTTTTTTGCATCATGTATTTACAAGCTTCTCAGTCACAACACATCCATTGGCACAATTCGACTCTAGGAGTCACATGATTGCCACTTTGGTTTGATGGATGGACATGACATTCTTGAATACTACCCAGAATACAAGAAGATGAAGGCATCATACAGAGGGATTTTCTCTAAACTCAAATTTTTGAAAGACAAGAAAATGAAGAGAACTTTGTGTTTATATGAAAGAATTTCTGCTATCTTGGAGAGCAGATTGTGTTTAGAATGGCAGTGGTTGCTAGGATGCAAATGGAAATCGGCTTCGTGAGTTGGATTTCTGGAACTAAAAACACTTGCTGGTATAACAATGTAGTAGAAGAAGAATGCGACCCAGTGTGTCTTCCTCACGAAGAAGAAAGATGCAGATGACATGAAGTCTCTTACAGATTGACACTCTGCAGAATTGTGAAGGTACCATGTGATCTTTTCTTTAAGATAACCAGTTTCTAAATTCAGTCATTTTGTTTTAACTTGGACTGGTCTATATTTGCTCTTTAAGAGAAATTTGAAATTGCTCATTTCACAGAGAATGATTTCTGTAGTCATTTTCCTAAAGAGATTTTCTGGGCCACATGATCATCGGTATTGTTGATATCAATATGCTTTGAAGTACTTGGGAGTTCATTTTTGACCCAACAATAAAGGAAGAGGATGGTGTGGGAGGAATTGATAAGTTAAAATTTAGAAAAGATGATTTCAGGCAGAAAAAATTAGGTCAGACGATGTGCTTATTGCCAAGTTCCCCAGAGTTCACCACAAAGACAAATTTCCAACTCTTTAGGCTTGCCCTAAGTGCAGGATCCATATCTTCCACTGTGATTTGGCCTTTCCATCCCCCAGCATCATTTATGGCTTGAATTCATAAAAAACTGCCACAGTATAAAAGGTTAAGTCTAGAAATATTTGGTTTGAATCCTTACTGGTGTTCATTGTCATTAAGCCGCTGTAAGAAATTCGCATGGTGGAACATGGAATGATTTTGGTTTTAATAATTGCAGTTCTTGTTCAGTTATGAATGCTACTGCAGTGAGAAAACTTGTTTCTTTTTCTTTGTTTGCATCTTTACAATCTAGTAATACATGTATCCCAGTAAATGGTGCTATTGCCTATTTAACATTTGGGTTTTTGACTTTGAGGAAGTAGAAGAGGAAAAGTTGGTCACTGTTAAGACTTGAATTTGAAGTTACAAAAGGTAAGTGAGGAAATTTGCAGAGTTCCTTTTTCTCCCATTTTCAGTCTATTGCTGTTGACCGTTAAAAAAACAGCAATTTGTTGATGATATGCATGCACTGAAAGTAGATGCAGACATTAACTTGTGCCTTGTTGGTTTCCTGAAGAATGATGATTCATTATTGAAAGTTGTCAAGTATGGTCAATTGCATTGGGAAAATATCATGATTCTCAAGTTGTTTTTTTCTTCCTTGTGAAATGGTTCAAGGTTGCTGCATTCTTTTACCCCTATTATGAGATGATTCTTTTGGGTCCATGATTCAAATCTATTACAATACTTGAGGGAGTGAGCTACAGCTTAGATGTCACTTTTAAAGTATGGTATTCTTTTGTGATGCTAGGCTTGGTGCTGCGCTAAACTGGATATTTTATCAACTTGAGAGTTGATTGTTTTATCCTCTTGGCTCAGTTTTGCATTTAGCCAAGCTGCCAACATGACCCTCCATCGTCATCCATAACTTGAGAGCATATTTTTTACTCTCTGGTCGCCCTTCCTCCTCCATCATCACCATAATTCACATCTAGCCGCTTCTATGTTCAGTTGCCTTTTGTGCCTTGTGTTTTGTTCTGGTCTCTTTCTCTTTCTGTTTTTTCTGTCATTGTAGTGTCTCAATCCAGGGCAGAGTTAGCAATCAACTGACGGCCGTGAGTGTGACCACATGGCTTCATTGGCTTGGCCACCGTTGTTTCAACCAAACAATAATTTATGACTTTTGCAATGCAATTTCACTTTTCTGTTTTTAGATGAAAAAAGAAAGAGACTCCCGAGGGTGAAAAAATGTTGAAAATGTGAAAACTATGGCAAGCCAAACCCTTTGAACTTGTTGTAGGTGAAAAAAAAAAGTTGAGGGAGTTGTGTTGCGTCAGATGAGATGAGTGGACTGTGGAGGTGGAGACTGGAGGGTGTGGCCCGTGGTCCTGAGCTGAATAGTGGTAAATGGCCACGTGATGAAACACCATGGTCATTCTACTCTCTCTCATCACGAGCTTTGGAGTTGACGGACATGAGCACATTCTGTGCGTGTTCTCATATTATTGCCTCAAATCTCAATTCCCACGTGCCCCGTCGTTTAGATCACGTGGTCAGTGGTCAGTGGTCAGTGCACGCTCTCTCTCTCTCTCTCTCTCTACGCACCTGTTCTCATACAACTTACAAATGAGATGCTTTTGCCAACCCAAGCCTGATGCTTACCCAGAAACAACCATCAATCAAATTACTGTATCTACAGTTCGATTTTAAATTTACTGTCTCAATATTCTCTTCAACTTGCAATTTCTTCCACTTGATATATTCTCACAGCACGTTAATTGTATTGCATCCCTATAAGGTCTCGTTTGGTGGGTAGGATAAGTAACATAATTAGATTTGTTTAATCCATTACCATGTTTGGAGCTAAAATATGATTGTAGATAGGATAAAAGATAATCTCAACATAATCCCATTATGTTTATTTTTGTAGGATAATTTATCCTACCAAGAAGATGGGAATACATAATCCCACTACTCCAACTCCTTGACCTTGAACCTAAGATTTGACCTTGAACCTAAGATTCGGGAGTCATGACACAAAAATTTGGGACACTAGTGCCAATAAAGGATATATCATTACACAAAAATTTGGGACACTAGTGCCAATAAAGGATATATCATTTCCAATTCAATGTAATCCAATGCAATTCAATTCTACCTCCTAATCCAATTAAATTCTAGCAACCAAACAAGTTTAGAGTCCAAACAAAACCATGGATTATCTCTAAGCTATATTAGTCCTTTGTTTTACTTAATTCGGTTAATTGGAGTGCTTCACGCTTTTTGTTGGTACTAACTAGTACATGACCCAAGTGGATGAAAATGCTTCAAAACACAACTTTATTGTCAAAGCAAGTCATTGGTTTCCAATTAATTTGTTATGTACATTTACTACCCTTATTATAAACTCGATTACTAAAACCAAGTCGGCAAATTATGTGATTTGATACACGCGATAATGGGAAAGGGAAGAATCAAATACATAACTTTGAGTATAAGGATAATTACCCTTCAGCACTTGAGCTATAATCCTCTTGTGAATGTGGTCGAATTTTTATGTGTATTCCAACGTCCCTCACCTCAATTGTCCAGCACTAATGCCTATGTTCAGGCCCAACGGTAATGGGTCTGAGGCTCTCGGTGTCGACTTTTGAGGCCCAATCTAATGTGGCTGAGAATTTCGATACAAAGATGAAAAGATAAACGACGACGAAGCAGAGCAGCAGACTCCATTAACACAAAAATGAAAGTTGGCAGCGGATTGGTGTACGGAGGACCTCGAGCCACCTCTGTTCTTCTTCGGCACAGTAGAGCTGGACCACACTGCTCTTACTCCTCTGCCACTCCTGGTAACTTAAGGCTCTGTTTGGCTTTGAATTATGGAAGTGCCTATTGATATAACTGTTTTAAAAGATTTGGGAACTGATTGTGGTGAAAATTTCAATTTACAGACCATGTGTTTTTCATTAAGGAGGTGGCAGCAACTCAGCCTCCACAGCATTTGAGCCAGTTGCTGACAATGCTCAAGACAAAAGGTGGGTCATTGCTTAAACCTCTGTTCAAGATTCATATTTCCATATTCAAGAACATCTCTTTGTTGGGTATTATTCAATTCTTGTGTTTTGGGATTTGCACGTGTTGGTTGTTTTCTTCAATGTTTCCATGTTGGTTGTTCAGAGAGAACAATGTGACAATGTAATCTTTAAAAGGCAATGATTTGTTCTACAAATCTCGCCTAGTAGATTCTCAATCTCAAGGTTATAGTTGCTGGGTTGTGGTGCCTTTGTGTTGAATGTTATGGCATTGCAAGAAAATGGATGAACTTTTGATGTATAATTTACAGTTATTATACATGATCCATGCTTTGTTTTTTGTCTGCTCATCTTTGAAATAGTTGAAGCTTTAAGTAAATTCTCACATACATTGCTATGTAACAGGTGAATCTATTCTTTCTCCAGGAGCCAAAGAAGGGCTAATCCCCCTTGCCATACCACTAGCAAAAAATAGCTCAGGTATGGAAAAGCTTCGCCTCTATTTGGAATTGACGAATCCTCAAGAATTGACTTGTAGTTCAAGCTGTTCTAATTTTGTAAATATTTCTTTGCCAATAGGTGCTGTAACTGCACTTCTCCGGTGGCCTACAGCTCCTCCAGGGTAAGTGTTTGGCCTGAACAATTTTGTTCCTTCTTTTAAAGCTTGATTCATCTAGTCCAACACCTGCAGTATGGACATGCCAGTAGTCGAGGTCAGGAAGCATGGGGTGTGGCTTTTAGCCAAGAATGTGAGTAAAACATGCCAGTGTTCCTCATACATGGCCAAAATTTCATTGTAAATGCATTTTTGTACTGGTTATACAACTATTCTCAGGGCAGACGTCCTATCTTTCATCCACAGGTGGACCAATTAATTCACAGAATCCTAGTTGAAGAAGATGCTAAAAACTCTGGAGAAAGCAATGAGGAGCTATTTCATGCTTCTGCTGATGTTGGGGAGAAACTTTATAAAAAGGGTGACTTTGCCAAGTCGCAGATTTCAAAACTAGATATTTACCTTTTAAGAAAAGTATGAAAGAGATTTCTTCTTTGTTTAGCCTCCTCCTTTGACTTTGTTTCCTTTCTTGTCAAATTTTTTTTTTTCAAAAAATGAAGCGGTTACAAATGGTTCATTTTCAGGTTGGTTTATTTCCAGATGTCTTGGAGCGCAAAGTGAAGTGGCATTTTGAGGAAGGGGACCATGTAAGATTCATCACCTGACTTTGCTTACTTTTTCTAAGCATCATTTTGTTAGTGTGTATTTGACGGTCTAATTACTGTATGTGCTTTTGAAAGGTATCGGCTTTGGTGACGGGAGAATTCTATACAAAGAAGGAGCATTTTCCTGGATTTGCACGGCCTTATGTATTCAATGCTGAGGTTTTGCTGAAGTTCGTAGGAAACTTTTCCAGTTACTTTCTACTAAACGTTTGTTGTGATTTAGTCAGTTGAATCACTTAAGTTCCATCTTATAAGGAGCCCATTTGTAAATTTTACAGGGTTGGGCGTACTGTTGAAGCAAAAGATGCTGCTAGGGGAGCTCTAAAATCACCATGGTGGACTCTGGGTTGCAGCTACCAGGTTTCTACTTTCCTTGATCATTCCTAGATTGTCCCAGCCAACTTTGCTCTGCAAGAGTTCCTTTTATGACATTATGCAGTTGAATACTTATAATTCAGGAAGTTGCTGATATAGCACAATGGGAGGACGAGCAAATTGAGTACATTAAGGAGAAGGTGACTGACGAGGGAAGGCAAGCAGATCTTAAAAAGGGAAAGGCCCCAGCTCAGGTTTTCGAATCATTATTGCTTATGAACTCCCAAAAACAATTTGTTAAAATGATTTCTTATCATCGCAGTTCCGTCATTTGCAGGTTGCATTGGATGAAGCAGCTTTTTTGTTGGATCTAGCTTCTATTGAAGGGACTTGGGATGACCATGTGGAGCAGGTTGCTGATCGTTACAGAGAGGCTGGCCTCACTGATATTGCAAGATTTGTACTATACAGAGAATGATAATGAAGATAAAGAGATTTATGTCACACCGAATATACAGCGTCGCAGAACCAGCTTCATGACTGGAGAGATTTTTCTGCCGAGTGATTAATATGTGCACGTCTTTCCGGATTTGTCTCTGTTACCTAATTTGTTGACTCATTGTTGGTACATAACATATCACTTTTAATTATTTTTCTTGTGAAGGCTGGTTGATTTCCAGCTGAGATTGCTGAGGCATTGGCCCATTATAGAAAGAGAAATGAAAAAGAAGTGTGAATTTGCTTAATCTGCTGAGATCCCTCTTCTGATGAAGGAGAGAGTGTTGTGTTAATGCATGATGTTAAAACGGTCGTGCAGGAGTTTCTTTTTTGAAAATTTTGTTACATCCCCAGACTTCAATAGCTTTAGACGGCCGCCATGTTGTTCTTCTATGTGGTAATGATTTGATCTGAAACACCGAATCTGGGATATTTAGAAGAAAAAAAACCATATTTTATTCATGGGAAAAATACACGTGTACAAAACAGGGAATTACATGGAGGGGTATACAACATAACTACATATTCTCTTTTTTTCACACTCATTTCCTTATTTGGGTTAATGGTACACAAATGTCAACTTCTCTGCTGACATTGTTGCAAAATCTCAGTTGCCTAGAACGATATATATATACAGGAGCAATACATAACGTATGCAAAAACAAAAACAAAACCCTCACTCACGCATTCTCCAATATCTCTCAAATGAGAATGACCAACAGACCTATAGCCTTTATTATTTTGCATTCCAGGCGTGTGACAAACCAAACTGCCATCAAAACAGAGCAAGGAACACCAACGTTGTAATCAACTCATCATACGATAGAGATTGATCATGAAGCAATCGGAAGGGGTGCTTTTTTGCTGCTACCTTTCTTTCTCCATACCAGCTTTTTCCATAAACTCCAACCTCCCCTTTTCTTGCCAGGCACTATAGCTAAGGAACCAACAGTAGCATTGTCATCCTGGTATTTACCATTTACAACAAGGATATTCTCAAGGGGCTCTATCACCCTCTTAGGACCGAACGTGGAAGTCGAATTACTGTCGACCTCTTTTGTCTTTGGAGACATTAAATCCTTGATGCCAGCACCATCTTCTGCTAACATTTGATCTAGTAGAGAGGATCGTTGGTTCAGCTTCTTCTGTGGGGTTGGGCATGTGGCTTTGGCTTTGAGGGTATTTATATCAGTGGGATTAGTGATGACCTTGTCAAAAAGGGCTGCTTCCTTTGGTGCAGCCATTGCCTTCAACTGCTTCCCGAGGTTAAGTATTGTCTCTTGGCATTCAGCCAACTTTTCTGAAGCAGCTGTTATCTCCCAATCCTGAAAAATTGATCAAATATTATTTACCATTAATTTAAGCAGCAACAAGTAAAGAATTGGAATTCTTTTGAATTATAAGAACGGTAAGGCACATCATGCAATATTGCATCTGAATGACAAGTTGTCAAAAAAGCACAGTATCCTTTTTGGATTGAATTGTTTTGTTTCAAGATGAATTCTCCTTTTACCATAAGAGAAAGAGAGTCCACATTTAAGCTGATCACTTTCAATGGTGTTTCTTATAGGAATGTACTGTTTCAGCGTAGATTTTTTAGGTAAAGTAGACCACTAAATCTAGAAATATGATTATAAGTTGAATCTGAAATGCTACAGTTGTCAAGTGACTCATCCTTGAACAAGAAAAGAGCTACTATTCACATATAATTTCCTAGGCAATGAAAAATTTTCTTATTTGTAAAAGAAGATAAATTCTTTCATCAGGTAAATGTAGGTGTAACGAGAGGACATTAACTTACATTTTGGGCTTGCCTTTCGTCTGGATTAAGATCGGAATTTGGGCTTTTCTTCTTCACACTGCCAAAATAAACATATATCAGATGCATAAGATTCCTCAATAATTTTATTACATTAGTCAATATTTTTAAATAAGTAAAAGCTTTAATATGTCGGTATACTATCTTTGGTGGTATGCATCTGTACCTTTCAAGCTGAAGCTGTAGTTCCAGGCATGTAGCCTCCAATTCTTCACAGCAGTTGTATTTATTCTCCAGTTCAACTTCTAGGGATGAAAACTTTTGGCGAGCTTCACCTAATTCAACTTTGGCCACTGTAAGCTGCGTGTCAAGATCTTCATTCATCACCTTGTGATTTTTAATTTGGTCCTCAATGATTTCTTTTGACTCTCTTAAACTTTGTAACTCTGTTCTCAAACTGGCGATAGCCTTTTCCGATTCCTTAAGCTGATTCATCAGGTATTCACTCTTATCACAAGCTGACTGAAATCTCCCTTCCAACTCTCTCTTTGCAGATTCTATATTCACCAATTCATCCTTTAATTTTCTGTTTTCTTTGACCAGATTGGCCTGCAGCTCTTCTATTTGGATGCTATGGCCATTTGAAGAAGTAGACGTGGGCAAACATGATAACTGTTCTCGTGGAACACGTAATTTGTCTGTATCTAAAAAGTGACCAACCACTCCAACTTCTGCTTCACTTTCACTTCGTGTATCATCCCAATCAAATTGTTTCTTAATTGCATCCTTCATGCTTGAAACATCTTGAAGTGAAAAGCAGTGGTTTAAAATCCAGTCCAAAGCAGTAGTGAGCTCTTGGGCAAACTTGTCAAGACCAGCCTTGCCATTCAACAGATTATAACAAGCATGAACAAATTGTTGTAGAAGATCACCAAGTTCAGAAGTTTTCCACTGGAAAACACGAACCATGTAGCCTGTGTATTCTGAATTCTTATATGTGGACAAGTTCCCATCCTTCCTGGTCCCATTCTCTGGGTTATAATCTGGAGATGGCACACTGATTCCCTCAATAAGCTCAATTATTTTACATAATGATTTACTCAGATCTGGCTGGAAGTGCTGATTACTCCTCTTTGGGCTTGAGATGTCCACATCACTTACTCCACTGGGTGAATCAGTTACTAGAGATCTATCTGAACCTTTCCATGAGATGCAGCTTTTAACAGAGGAAGGATTGGATGCATCAAAATGGTTTCCATTTGTCCTTGCATCAACCAACTCACCAGGCTTTGGATTTTCTGTGGATGCCAGAGCTAATCTTATATCCTCAAGTATCTGTTCAGGATTTCTTCCTGCAACACGGTTGTGCTCCAACACCAGTTTCACTATATCCTGAATCCAATTGGGAGCTTTACCATCAGGAATATTTTTAAATCCGGTCTCCCTGTTTGACATATTGAAGCCTGACTCACTGTCAGAAACAGGAACTATCTCTCTACCCACAAGTTCTGAGGAATACTCAGTTTCCAAGGTGCCAACAAATGCGTTAGCTGAAGAAACAGGAGAACCTACACTTAGTTTATCAGCAGAAACCACTGCTAACTTTTCCATTTCAATAAAGTCATCCATCAGATTTATGTCTGAAACTCCGACAGTTTTGCTTGTTAGTGATCCCTTTTGTTTTTCATTTCTAAAGTGCTCCAGTTCCGTAATCAAGGCAGAAGCCCATGAATCAGCACAACTAACCTTATCATCGCTGCCAATATCAGACATAGATGCTACAGAGACTTCATGAGACATAAGACTACTCCTCATTGGCTCCATGGTTGTCTGGCCTCTTGATGATTCTTCAAGCGGTGTTTCAACTTGTGATAATTTTGAAGCTACACGAGCATACATGTTTCTTGAGAACTGGAGTTCATTCATCTTTTTATTGAGTGCTTCCTTGAGAGTCTGGTTTTCTTCTTCCATAGCATATAACTGGTCAGTCAGAATGTTAACCCTTTTGCTGGGAGTCTCGGGAAAGTTGTCAACAGTAGAGTCATACATTAAACCATTTGGATTCAACTTTCTCCTCCTCGTGTCAACAGAATCCCGTCCTAGCATTTCAACTTCAGTTTTCATTTTTGCCAAAGCAGCAGGACCTGGCAACCGCTTCCGGACCAGGAGACGCAACCTCTGACATTCTGATTCTAACTTTGCAATTTTCTTTGCACCCTCCAGATTTTGCTTGTGTGATGCATCAGCAGTTCGACGGTTGAATTCTCTCTCCTCATTCCGGATCTCAAGCTCTTTCTCAAGCACTCGAACTTCATATTTCAAAGAAGCATTATCTTTCTCAGTGGATTCTAATCTACTCGTGAGCGCATTGAAATCAGCTTCCACCTGAGTCAATTGTTTTCTTAAATCTCCTATCAACTTTTCCTTCACTAAAAGAGCATTACTAAGATGGCTGTTTTCAGCACCTATTTTAGAAAGCCTTTTAGTGGTCTCTGCTAATTTCTCCTCTAACACCATCTGGGATTTCTCAAATTCTCTTGATGTCTTCATCATAGCATCATGAACCCTTTGCTCCTGTTCTTCTCGAACAAATCGTAGCTGCTGCATACATTCCTTGAGGGCTGCATCCAATTGAGCTATTCTTTCTTCACGAGCTGCTCTGATTTGTAAAGCTTTATCCAGTTCTTGCTTTAGAAACCCCGCATCTGCTTCTACCTTCTCCCAGCCTGCATAAAACACTCATATGAAAAATGCGACAATATATTAACTGAATGCACAGGTTATTGATATATTCCAACACAACTCTTAAACTAATGAATTACCTTGAACAGCCTCCTGTGCCATTTTGGCATGTTTCTTCACAAGTTCATCTTTGCTGTTACATTCAGAGAGAGCTGAAGCAAGCTTATCACTTAAAGTTTTCAGATTGTTCTCCAGCTCTGCCTTCTCAGCCCGAAGTGCCTCTATCTAAAGAAAAAGAAAACAGAGTAAAGTGAAAAATAGTACCATTAACGCCTCCAAGTATATTAAACAGTTCCTAAATGAAAAACAAAATTCCTAATAAGACATATACAGCAACCTAAAACAACAGGCATCATTAAAAATTCTTAAATGATGATAACTAATTACCATACTCCCTTAGGAATTCAATCTTTCGGTTATTTTGTCCACATTACGAGGAATAACTATTTGACAGCACTTGACTGGTTATGGTCACCAAAATTCTAAAACTGGTTTCAGAATCCCCACAGCCGCACAGGGGAGCTATATCTGTCATCCCTGGGAAATTTACTCTAAGCAGTATGTCTTTTCGATTGACATATTTATTATTGTAGCCCCAATCAGATCTTGGTTTGTGGAATAGAAAATCTTGATCAAATTTAGTCTCTCTTTAATGCTAATTTTTGAAAAAGGAAAACTTTGAGAATTTAGGACAAATATGGTATGGTTTCGTAAAGACAAAAACGTGAAATTGCCTTCAAATTGTAATTTAAAATTTCATTAGACTGATTATTCCAGATTCTGAATTGCATCTTGGTATGGTATCACAAATTGGAAGTGCTAGAAAGAGGTCTCTCTCACCCGACTGTATAGACATCAGAAGGGCCTGTTTATTTTGCGTGATTCAGTATATCAATAAAATGTGATCAAAGAAGTGAACAATTTGATGGCAGTAGTTATTCCTACCGAAATTCAACACTAGTTTCAACTTTTAGATATAACACTAGTCTTGCTGGTGAAAACTTCTGACTGATCTAAATATTGATCTCAAGTTTGAAGGCTTAAACATATCCAAATAGAAAATTGTACTTGTCTAGACTGACCCACCTCCCTAGTAAAATCTCTAATCATCAGAATCCAATAAGATATATATATATATAGAAAACAAAAAAGCATCTCTCCATGCAATTATTCAATGCATAACCAATTTTCTTCATAAAACCTGGCTTTCCTTGAGCCAATATAGAAAAATAATAATAATAATAACAGAGCAAAAATTATTTGATTTTAAGTATCTTTCAAGTGAAACACTGAGGATGGAGCCCTTTCAGCTATGGATTGTACAAGAACAACCCTCTGGGAACTGGGAAGTTAAAGTAAAGCTCTAGCTTGGGCCTCCAAAAGTGTGCCTTAAAAGGGAAAGTAGCATAAAACAAGACAAACCATATACATTTATAGCTAATGTAAATTAGAATATACCATCATGGATTTCACTAAAGCTATGAATTCATAGTTACCTCATCTTCATTTCCTTTGCCCAAGACGTTGACTTTGTCTTCTGCTGCTGCTGCTGCTCCAACATTGGGCTTTTCTGTAGATTTCTTCCTCCAAAGCCATGGCTTGTGGTCCATGATTCACTCACCAACCACTTAAATACACTTGCTTCTTCTCTAAAAGCCAAACAGTCAATCCAATCAGAACAAGCAAAGCATGCAAACAGCCTAACCCAAATGCCAAAACTTAAAAATTAATTAATAAATCAACAAATGAAGTACCAACCAGGTGAGCATTGCATGGATGATGATCCACATTCCAAGAGCAGAGAAAAGAATTGAACTTTCTCTATAGGAAGTGCAATAATGAGAAATGAAGACCGAAAAAACGAGTCAGGCAGAGAACATCATCAATGTGAATGATAGCGATCCCACCACCGACACAGAGATGTGTTTGCAGAGAGATGACTCAAAGGAGGGAGAAGATGATAACGATATAGAAAGAAAACCAACCACCAAAGCTTTAGCTTTTCTAGAGAGAGAGAGAGTACTGGAGAGAGTGTGTGTGTGTGTTTGGTAACCAGGAAAAGTGAAATGAGGGAAAAGTGAAGAGTGGGACAATGTAGAGAGAGAGAGAGAGAGAGTATGGAGGAAGATACCGGTGGAGGGGGGCCTTGGATTTGGATCTGGGTTCTGACCCGAGAGCCGAATCGTACGTGTGGCAATGGGAGCCGTTGATTTTAGTATAATTTTTTTTTTAGAGGGACAACAGTCGTGGGGTTTTTTTTTCCAAGGTCGTTTTTGCGTTCATCTAACGGACCGGAAGAGCGGAAGTCTCTGTCTTCGTTGACAAGAGTCTTCAACAGATTTGATACTTTTGTGGGAAAAATAGAATAAAATTTGTACCTACTACTACCTAGTAACACATTCTTATCAAATTAGAGTCACAAAATGTCGATTTAGTCAATGTCATTATAATTTATATGACGACATCTATCACATATATCGACCTTAATTCTATTATTAATTTTTTCAAAGTGAAAACTAATTAGACATTAAATTTTGAAGCCATCAGTCTGCACCATTTATACAAGTTACAACTAGTTCGGGCTCTTTTTTTAATCACAAGTTGCTTGACACCTGTAGATTACTAAAATTTCTATTAAAAAATAAAGCATATTGATTTAAGCTCAGAAAAGTCATTGAATATTAATATACTTGCATTATGAGATTCATACTCACACACAAATTCATGTTTTATTTATTTGTCAGAAACCCAAAAACAATGATAGTTGGTGATGTGCTTTTGAATATGTCTGTATGTAGGTGGTAATAAATGACAATAGAATAAGATATTGATTTTATAAGAAAAAAGGTGCAAGAGGAAGTGGTTTGATATTTTGTAAATTTTTTTTTAAAAATAATAATAATTTTGGAATTTCATTTATAATTTAGCCAAAAAAATCACTAGCCACAAAGGGCTAATACAAACTAACCACAAAGGATTATTACAAAAACAAAGCGATGTAATATCAAAATTAAGATATTATGGGGCTCATCCACTAACAATCACGCACGATAAAAGAAACATAAGAGAGGTGGAAAGCTCTCATGAAGGAGAGGTGAAAGCCTCTCACAAAAGGAGATGTCAAAATTACACAGAAAACTCAAAGACTCTCTACAACTTATTCCAAACATAAAGAAACTGCAAAAAGGATGGTGGTAGAGATCCAACATCGAAACGCAAGTGGAGATCTGACGCCAAGACACATCTGTGATAAGTTAAGGAAAATCATAACAAAATAAAGACATATAGGAGAAACCTTATATCTGTTGAAATGGGGGAAGATAAGAGAATGGAGGAAGAGAGAAGGGGAAAGGGGAGGAAGAACATTGACTTTCTTCACCCTCAAAGTAAAAACGGCTCTAAAGTATTTTTTTTGGAAAGAAGGAGCTAGGGTTTTCAAGAGAGATTCCTAAAAAACCATATGTACATTCAATGCAAACTTCTGTAAATTTTTGTTTCTAAAGGAAAAAGGGTAAAGACAGTATGATGCTTATTGTCCGGATCGATCTCACATAAAAACAAGATGCATGCTAAATATAAAAATGATTAATAATACAGTGGTAGTATCCTAAGCCCTTCTTATATATATATATATATATATATAAAACTGATCATGATGATGATATAGTTGACCTGCGGTCCCTCTGTTGAATGCCACTGCCTCCCACAACAAATTAAAAAAAAGATATGCCCCATATTCTAGGCAGCCCTTTATTTGCGTTACACTCTTGGTTGATTCTTTCTTGGACAATTTATATATTAATTTACATGTAATTTTGTATTGTATTGCTCCGTGTATACAAACCACAAACAACCAAACGTGATACTACTGCTGGATTATTATTTATAAATATATCGGCTTTTTAATTTAAGATGGCAAGTAACTATTACATATATGTTGGACAAAGCTGGTGAAAATGGATGCTTAGCGTTAATAATGTACAAGGCATGATTTGTGATGATATCGTCGTGACTTAGACCAAAGAACTTCACATGTTTCATGCATGAACTCCTAATCAAGTTAACTAAAGTTCTAACTGATCTTCATCGTCTTAGGGTTTAAGATTAAGCGTTAATTTGGGATTTAGTATGCATTTGAAACGTACGCTAAAGTATAATTACAGAATATTATATGCAATTATATTGCTTACAGTAAGAAAACCTAAACCTGTGCAAAATGGGGTCGAATTGATGCTTTGCTTAATCAAGTTGTGTGGCAAGGTTTTCCACTCATCCTTTCATTTAAAAATGGCACTTGGCTTTGTCAAGTGTCATGTTTTAATTACTTACTGTTGCTAGATGCCATCTCTCTCTCTCTCTCTCTCTCTGTGGTTAAATGGAAAGAGAGCAGCAAAGATTTAGAAGATTGCAGGCCCACTTTGTCAAATATAGGGAGCACTAAAATCAGAATAGACCCTTAGTGTTGGTTGTTCTTTCGTCACATCTTAGCTAGATTTTGTGTTTCTTCTTTTTCGTCTTTTTCACTCCCCTGAATATATGTGAACAGGTTTAAGGTCACATCTATGGCCTCTTCTCCTTGTAAAAACGGCAACAATAATTTAAAGTCGGCTGGTTGGTGGTCTGAGATTTGACTCAATTTTAGCAAATAGTAAATGGATCTAGTGGCACTGTGGCACTACATTTACAACTCTTTGATGCTTCCCTTTGCCAGCTGTTACCCTGTGTTCTTATTTATAGCTATGTATGTATATTAGCTAGGTGTGATGAATAAGTATTTACTCTCCCCAATTTTACCAAACTTATTACGACTGGGTATGAGATTTATCAAACAGTTTGCAGTCTTTGCCCTCAGACTCCAAGAAAACAACCTATTTCTTAGATTCTGGTTGAGGTTAGGGTTGATTTACATGTAGTCCTGCTTCCTTATGTGGAAAGGTTGCAATCAACTTATGAAGAAGGAAGGAGATGGGTTTTATCAAACCAATTAAGCCAGTCAAACAACAACTTTGTCTAAAAGCCCAAGCCTTGTTTAACTTTAGGACCAACAAATCTTTAAAACAACCCAAAGCCCATTTAAGAAACTTAGCTCATTTGAAGAAAGAAGCTACTTGTTTGTAGCTACAAGCCTAAGATTATCTATCAATGCACAAATTTAAACAAGAATAATTTTCCTTTGGCCCTTTTGGTAATTCTTGTCAGCTTCTTTGAGGACTCGTTTGGGACTGTTTATATAAGAAGCACTTCTACTTATAAGCGCTTTTATTATAAAGAAGTTGAAATTTTCATAAGAAATCGAAGTGCTTCTTGGAAAAGCATTTGAGAGTGCTTCCTAAAGAAGCACATGGTAGGTATTTCTTCAGAAAGCGTTTCTAAACTTTTCTGCAAAACACTGTTAGAAACCCTTTTAATTCTCAGAAAGTGCTTTTAACTTTTCCAAAAGCACTTTCAAACCCGCCCTTAATTTCATGCCAAACCCTATAGACCAATCTACCTAATTGGGTCATCCTCTTTTTGTAGCTGAAGGCTATATATACAGGCCTAGCCTGGTCCAAAAGATAGGTTGGGGGAGGCCTGAAACCTAGCTACCCTAAACCCTCAAAATTTGGGCTGGTTGCTTTGTTTTGTAGACTACAATTGGAGGAGGGCTGCCTATTAAATTACAATTAGCATGTCTTCTATAATTGGAGTTTCAACAACCAGCTATGGCAAACTGTTAGAAACGTCTCATCACAAACTTCAAAATTGCAACAAAAAGTATATATCAAGCCATTTTCCAGTCTTTCAAACTTTTTTCTTTTTGGGGTAAATTATTTTTCAGTCTTTCAAAGTTGCAAGCAAACCCACAAACAAAAAGTATATATCAAGCCATTTACAGGGCATATGCTTAGCTTATAAAATAGAAAAGATTACAATTGGTGGGTGGGTGACAAGAAAAGGTTGCTTTAAAAACCAAGCAACTTCCATTTAAGGGAAGAGAGAGTGAGTGCAGAGTGCAGCCCCAAAGTCCATATAATAATGTACAAGGCATGATTTGTGATGATATCGTCGTGACTTAGACCAAACAACTTCACATGTTTCATGCATGAACTCCTAATCAAGTTTAACTAAAGTTCTAACCGATCTTCGTTGTCTTAGGGTTTAAGATTAAGCGTTAATTTGGGATTTAGTACGTATTTGAAACATACGCGCTAAAGTATAATTACAGAGTATTATATACAACTATATTGCTTACAGTAAGAAAACCTAAACCTGTGCAAAATGGGGTCGAATTGATGCTTTGCTTAATCAAGTTGTGTGGCAAGGTTTTCCACTCATCCTTTCATCTAAAAATGGCACTTGCCTTTGTCAAGTGTCATGTTTTAATTACTTACTGTTGCCAGATGCCATCTCTCTCTCTCTCTCTCTCTCTCTCTGTGCATAGGGCTGTCAATGGGTCGTGTCGTGTCGGGTTCGTGTCGTGTCAAACTTTTAAACGTGTCAAGAAACCCCAACCCAAACACGACCCATTTATTAATCGTGTCAGGAAATGCAAACCCAAACCCAACCTGTTTACTCCCCTGACTATATGTGAACAGGTTTAAGGTCACATCTATGGCCTCTTCTCCTTGTAAAAACGGCAACAATAATTTAAAGTCGGCTGGTTGGTGGTCTGAGATTTGACTCAATTTTAGCAAATAGTAAATGGATCTAGTGGCACTGTGGCACTACATTTACAACTCTTTGATGCTTCCCTTTGCCAGCTGTTACCCTGTGTTCTTATTTATAGCTATGTATGTATATTAGCTAGGTGTGATGAATAAGTATTTACTCTCCCCAATTTTACCAAACTTATTACGACTGGGTATGAGATTTATCAAACAGTTTGCAGTCTTTGCCCTCAGACTCCAAGAAAACAACCTATTTCTTAGATTCTGGTTGAGGTTAGGGTTGATTTACATGTAGTCCTGCTTCCTTATGTGGAAAGGTTGCAATCAACTTATGAAGAAGAAAGGAGATGGGTTTTATCAAACCAATTAAGCCAGTCAAACAACAACTTTGTCTAAAAGCCCAAGCCTTGTTTAACTTTAGGACCAACAAATCTTTAAAACAACCCAAAGCCCATTTAAGAAACTTAGCTCATTTGAAGAAAG